TCACAACTTTTGCAGCACTTTGCTACTGGCATCTGTGGAAACATTGGAATTCAGTTGTGTTCAGAGAAGAGTTCTACACACACCGACAGGTCTTCCTACTAATGCACAATGATGCAAAGCTTTGGAGATCTCGATTACCAAAGAAGGATAAGGAGGTAGCTGATGTTTGGTGCCAACTCTTGTTATCTTTATGTAATCAGTAAATTGTAAATGATGACGACGTAACTCTTCAAACAGATGGGCTCCTTCAGCCTAGATCAATGATATGAAAAACCAGGTGGGGAGCCTTTCCCCCGTTGATAGTTAATTTTTTTTTATCGTCTCAACCTTTATATTTAAGTTATAGTATAAACTCACGCACCAACTACACTATATCATACACGCACATATTAAATCTACAGCCTATACCTAGGTCTAAAAGGTACACAGCTGAGAGATATCAAAGTTGAAGCCTAGAAAAATCTAGGCACGGACGAAACACACGCAGGATCCAACTCGGGAGGACTGCTTGCACGCCGCCACCTAGCTAACCGAGGCACCGAGCCTTGTTCGGTCCTCATAGCTGTGTTAATAATCGAACCTGTTGGAGTATGGTGGACTGTAGTCAACTAGTCATCGAGATGAATGAAAAAGAAGCTGCCAGGCAAAAAGCCTAGACTAGCGTGATTTTTTTTCATAGTTTTTATCGCTAACCGTCCTTTTGCGTTCTTCATGGTGTAGGTCTGGAGGAGGTATCATCTGACGCAATCATCTTCATGGGGCGCGTCGTCCCCTAGGAGATTAGAGAAGATGGTGAAGTTCTTTTAACAACTTGCTTCAGGAAGAAAAAGCTCAATTAAACAATAACCACAATGACTTTGGTACTTTGATCGGCTGCACTTCAATTCTCCCTTATACATGTATATTAATGGAATGAACACAACAAACCATATAATAATAGAATAGCTAGGAAATTGTACCGACTGATGCTTTGGGGCACCGTAACACTACTAGGTGGTGACTAAATGGGACTAAAAACTGCAATAGCTAACTAGTCACCATTTAGTCTTATTTAGTCACTTTTACTCAAACACTATAACTAAATGGGACTAAAAAGTGCATTAGCTAATTAATCATCCAAGTGTTGCTAAATGGGACTAAAGCCCACCTTTTAGTCATGCTGCCTTACGTTTTAGTCACTTTGATAAACATCCTGACTAAAAGGGACTAAAAGATCTCTTTTAGTCTTTTTTAGTCCACCAAACCAAACATGGGTGATTAAACTTTATGAGCTGGTTTAGATTACTTTAGGAGATGTGAACCAAACAAGCCCTTACTCGAGTCTAACCGAGCTTCGTTGATGTAGTCAAACACAACTAGTGTAGTGTAATAACTTTGGGGGTGATTGGCACGGCTCCTCTTGAGAGGCTCCTTCGGAGGAGCCAGAGCCGTTTTGGAAGAGCCATAATTTATGACTTCTTCAAAATAGCTCTGATTCCTCTAGTTTTTACTAAAAAATGGCTTCTCCAAAAAAACATTTGACATGGCTTCTCTGGAGGAGTCAGAGCTGGAACTGAAGAGGAGCCCTGTCAAACATGCCATTTACGTGGTGAAACAACTTTAGTGATAATCCATATGGCGATGACCGAGCTGATTGTGTAATGATGACGTCATCGTGCCTGATGGAGGAGAGACGTCTGACGAGGATTGGTCCAAGCAGCACCGCAGAACCCACATGTCTTGGCCTGAAGACAACCCGTGAGGATGAAGAGCGCTAGCAGTCAAGGAATTGCTCCCAATTACCGGTGTACGCCAGCGATTGGGATGGAACAGACTATGGTGACGAGTGAAAAATTTAATTGGCTAGCTTCCAAATTCTCAGTCCTTTCTATGAGTGTGTTTTATTTGCCTGGGGCCTTATTTAGATTAGGGTTAGGAATCAGTATTTGATACTATAGCATTTTCGTTTGTATTTAACAATTATTGTCCAATCATAGCCTAACTAGGCTTAAAAGATTCGTCTCGTAATTTACAATCAAACTGTATAATTAGTTATTTTTTTATCTACATTTAATACTCCATGCATGTGTTAAAGATTTAATGTGACAGAAAGAGAATGAAAACTTGCAATCTAAACTAGACCTGAATGAGATACTGGGCCAGACTGGCGGGCTACAATATAGCTTGTTTGTTTGCCTAGAGGGCTTCTCGAGCCTAGGGATCATGGTGCTTAAAGCACCCGGGAGCCGGGCTGTGGGGAAAAAAGCAAAATTGTGTTACGCATGTGTGGCTGTGTGCTAGGACCCACAATCAGGTGTACCAAAACAAACAAGATCTGCACATAGATAGGGCAAACAAGACCACAACAACCAAACACAAGAGGCTGCGTCACTGCAGCCTGACTATTGCAGACCTGGCCAGACACACCCCATATGCTCCGTCCTTCCTAAAACCCTGCCTCAATATCAACTAGTAATATATATGATACTAATTAATGGCTCACTTTCTATGTCTCCGCTTATATGTTTAAACATTAATGTGTATTAGGGAACATTGATGCCTTTGAAATTTATTAGAATTATGCATATAGTCTAAGCTAGTGTATATATAAATTGTAACAAAAATATTGATATCTTGTACATAAAGTTGATCAAACTTGAGATTGATGCTAGAATTGTCTTTTTTATGGTGAATTTATTATGAGCTTCTGTTTGGCACGGCTCTGCCTTCGGCTCCAGCAGCAGTTTATGTAGAGGAGCCGTACCAAATACTTTAGGAGGAACTGTTTTCTGTTAAATAGTAGAGGAGCCAGAGTCGTTTTGAGATTAGAAGTAGAAGTCACAAAAAGTAACTTCTCCTCAAGTGCTCCAGCTTTCTTTAGAGAAACAATTGAGGAACCCTAGCAAACGAGGCCTAAAATTGGCAGGCCATAATGACTCCACAGCTAGCTGTCACTTGTGATTGTTCTTATAGCTTATTTTCATAATGACATATACATTGCCAATTTATATGCAAATTTACTTAAGGTTATTTTCATAATAAATGATGCGGGTAATTTATATATAGTTTTTATAATGATGGAGGTCAATAAATTAGATACAGATTTATGGGTCACTTTAGGTTGTTTTTAACATAATGGTAGAGATGAGTAATCTTTTAGAAAATAGAATATATTTATTGGCTATTATTTTCAATAATTATTATTAAAGCCTTTTAAATTAATTGACACATGTTTCTAATTTCTACGAGAACTAGCATGCCTTTTAAGGGTTAAATAGTTACTTAACCTTGAAATATATATGTATCCATTGTTCACTACAAGAACACAGGATAAATAAAATAAGTCGTAAAAAATAGTGCAAAACAAATAAACAAGTCTAACCTATATATCTACACCATAACTTTGTTAACCCAACATGACCAAACTTAGTTGCATGTTGTTTGTAGAAAAATGGTCACATCATCACGATTTCCTCAAAGCTTCCTGAGTTCCTGTTGCATATTGGTGGTCACTGGTCAGAACTCTCACTCAGTAGTTGCTCGCTTACTGTAGGGCGTGGGATGCTGAATCGTTTTCTAACGTGATTGTGACATTGAACTGATTTCTTGTCTCATTTGGTCTTCAATTTGCTCCGGATGCTGTTGGTAGCTTAGTAACTAGTGAAAATGCATGGTGACCGAGGGGCGCGCACGGGAGAGAGAGGAAGGGGACACTCTTTTTTTTTCACGAGTCCTCCACACGTCTGTGATCACAAGAGGAGCGCCTAGTGTTAAGGGGCAACGGTCTTTGCATGTATGGGGCTGAATATGTTTACAGCGCTATCGTTTACGGACTGGGGCAATCAAACACAAAACAATGTGATCCGTTAACGTTGTGAACTATTTACGGGCCAAACACATCGAACCAAAATAGTTCCTTAGTCTTTTTTAAGGGCGTAACACTTACTACTCCGTATCATAAAAACAAAGTCGTAACGAGACTCGTGCTGACTAGATTTATAGAAAATATTAGTAACATTCGTATCTCTAAATAAATTTATTATAAAAATATATTCAATGATCTATTTAATGATAATAATTATATATTAGAAATATTATTTTTATTATAATTTGGTCAAAGTTAAAAATCTTTGACTTGTCGGGAAGAAGAATGACACTTTTGAACGCTGATGCACGATGGACAGTATTCAACGGTTTCGGCATACTACCATGCACATTTTGCATGGATAACACACCCGCAGCATTCGAAACGTTGATTTGGATATCGGAATCAAACCCAAGACCTTATAGTTTATAAAGCCAAAAAAAAGTTGCATTAGTACCACGTACGACTCCATCCCAAATTATAAGACGTTTGACTTTTTTGGTCCTAAATTTGATCACTCGTCTTATTCAAAAAATTTGTACAAATATAGTCAAATTTAAGTTATTCTTGAAGAATTTTTATTAATAAACCAAACCACGACGAAAGAAGTGATATTTTACATAAATTTTTGAATAAGACGAGTGGTCAAACTTGATGTCAAAAAAGTTAAATATCTTACAATTTGGGATGGATTGAGTAGAACAGTTCTAGTAGTCTCAGAGATGATGCACGTTTGGTGAATCCACGGTCATCTAAAACGGCGAGTTTTGGACAACCTGGCCAACCCATGTTCGGCAGCAGACTGGAGACCGGATCAATTCGTACCAGACCGTACCGGCCCAACCAAACCCGTTGAAGAGACAACTTTTCGTGCCAAATCCAACCTGCAACGAAGGCCCCAGCATCCGCACGTCCATTCCCCCATCCGACGGCCGGCACCGCTCGACACGGTTTCGATGTTCCCTTCGCCCCCACACAACCATAATTGTGACCACCACCGCCACCGTCACCACCACCATCCATTTTCATTCAATCCGTCCACGCCGGCGCGCCTCCATTCCTCTCGCTTCCCTCCCTCCCTCCCTCCTTCCTTCTTGTTCCTTCTTGGAGGACCTCCGTCCGTCGCCGAGGGATTGAGGACGGAGACAGAGCAAAGATGATGATGACGCGGGCGTCGATGGGGGCGATGGATGCGGCGGCGGTGGACGAGGTGGTGCGTCGCCTCGTCGAGGGCGGCCGCGGGGGCCGGCAGGTGCAGCTGTCCGAGGCCGAGATCCGCCAGCTCTGCGTCGAGGCCAAACAGGTGCTGCTGTCGCAGCCCAACCTCCTGCGCATCCACGCGCCCGTCAAGATCTGCGGTGGGCCTCCTTTCGTGCACCTCACCTATGCATGTGCATGCGCCATGTTCTGTTCAATCCGGGTCGGATTCTGATTGCTGCGGTTGGGTTGGTGGATTTCTGATTGCTGCGGTTCCGGTGAGTCCGTGCATGTGCCGTGTTCATTGGCGGGCGGCTATGGGAAATTGCTGCTTCCTGGATTCATCATCATTAACCGATTCTCGGTCAGCAGGGATTCGTTGACGCTCGTTTAATTCCTCGTTTTTACAGCAAGCGTTTTAATTTTGGGCATTGCAAGGTGCTAAAATATGCAGTTTGTAAAATGCCTCGTCATTGTTCCTGACTCATGGTCGATAAGCTGGGGGGTTGCCACGGTATTTGCTTTTTGGGTACGCCTGGCCTTATCCTTTTGTGCTTTTCTGGGAGGAAGGAACCCGCACTTTTGGTTACCTGTTCTTGCATGCTTTGTGCGTTTTTGGTAATGCTTGGTCTGGAAGTGTAATGCCATTATCAAAGCTTGCACCCTTCCCTGATGGAAGGGGGAAAAAAAATATGCTGGCTAGTTCTGCTTCTTGTTGGTGTTGGAGGTTGGTAGTCTAGTCTCGTTCGGTTTGCCTTTATCTCCGAGCCTCCCATTAGTATGGACTTCGGAGTCATGGCAAAAGTTGGTACAAAAAACTATGCTTGGCTTGTGTGCATTGCATGATTGTTGTATTGTCTGATAGGTTGTTTGGAGTGGATGATTAAAAATATTGAGTACATTCTTCAGGTGTGTAGCTGGATTGCATTTCTAGTGCTTAGTTGCCTGCACTGCAGGAAATTCTGATGATTGTTTGGATCACAACTAAAACTTTGCATGTACATATGTCTTGTGAACGGAGGAATCATAGCTGCATTACATTATCCCTATCATATGGTAGCCTCCCCGCTCCAAATGCTGCTTCACCATGGTTATGTTTTTTCTTTGGTGTACAATCTCTTCCCATTGAGTAATTTAATTCTAAATCACACTGTCAATTTTTTCTAGGCTCTAGTAGGCACCCCAGACCCCACTCATGTGGGAGCCTCCGGCACTGGGTCTACCCTTTTCTAGTAGGCACCCTAGAAAGCAATGATATAACTGGTTTATGTGTAGTACTTGTGATTTGACACTGTAACTTGGTGTACCCCTAAATCATGAGCAAAAGCTTGATGTAACACTCCTCATGATTAACTGTCACTGCTCTGTAATTGGCTATATCTTAAGCAATCCTGCATGTAGTTGGGTCTTATAGAGAAGTCAACGCTAAGCACTTACTGTGTAACGAAACATGATATTTGCCTGTGGTGAGGTTTATAAAACAGAAGTCCTTTGACTATTGGAATTGCATTATGTGGAATTTACCGTTCTTGGGATGCTGTAGTGTACAACTGTCAGATTTTGCAGCATCATATTACAGATCCTATCATCATGAATTCATGATGCACGAATGGTCATTTTGTGTAAATAAATCAGGGAAGGAAAATTACACATTGGAGAAATGCCCTTTGACAGCATATAGGGTATATCAGCGTCCCCTTATGTTCCAAAGTACACCATGTTTTTTCAAGTAGACATTGATGCTGTGCCTCTTCGTTCTGATCTTATGATGTGTTTCGATCGATACCTTCTTCACTGCTTTAAATTCCTTAGAAGAAAAAAAATTCATCTATGTACGTTATCTTCCTTGGTCATTTCTGCATATGTACAGAACAGAGATACATTTTATTATGTTTCAGCCTTTTTTTATGCTTCTGAACTTGTCTCTAAGGAACGCACATGCAGGTGATATCCATGGACAATTTGTCGATCTCTTGAGGCTCTTCGATTTGGGTGGTTATCCTCCAACTTCAACTTATATTTTCCTTGGAGACTATGTGGATAGAGGCAAACAAAGCTTAGAAACCATATGTCTGCTTCTGGCATACAAGTTGAAGTACCCTGATAATATATACCTTTTAAGGGGAAACCATGAAGATGCAAAAATTAACAGAGTTTATGGTTTCTATGATGAATGCAAAAGGAGATTCAATGTTCGATTATGGAAGATATTCTGTGATTGCTTCAACTGCTTGCCTATGGCAGCACTTATTGATGACAAAGTATTATGCATGCATGGTGGCCTCTCACCTGAATTGAATAGCTTGGATCAAATAAAAGATATTGAGAGGCCTACCGAAATTCCTGACTATGGTCTTCTGTGCGACCTCCTTTGGTCTGATCCTAGTCACGATACAGAAGGGTGGGGGGAGAGTGATAGAGGTGTTTCTTGCACTTTTGGCGCAGATAAGCTTGTTGAATTTTTGGAGAAGAATGATCTTGACCTTGTGTGCCGAGCTCATCAGGTAAACAAAAGTATTTCAACCATTAGTCTTTATTTTCTATTTTTGTTGTAGAGTGCTGTGGGTGTTTAAGTGTGTGTGTCGTTGGGGATTCCCCCCCCTGTGTTTTAGACCTTTCTTCTTAACAAACAATCTGTTCGCTTGTTGGTTTCAGCCAGGGCTTATCAGCCAGCCAACAGTGTTTTCCTCTCACAACAAACCAGCACCAGTCAGGCTTATCAGCCCAGAAACCAACCAGCGAACAGACCGAAAATGATATGCAACTCTCTTGTGTGTTCAAGAAAAAATATTTTATTTTCTTCTTTTGAGATTCATGTGACAGTTTTTAACGTAATTGTCCCTACCTCCCTAGGTGGTAGAAGATGGCTACGAATTCTTTGCAGAAAGAAGACTAGTGACGATCTTTTCAGCTCCAAACTACTGTGGCGAATTTGATAATGCAGGTGCTCTATTGAGCATAGATGAAAGCTTGATGTGTTCTTTTCAGATCTTGAAACCAAATGAAACAGGTGCACCACATTCAAGGAAACCTCTTCCAAGCAAGGTAATTATCAAGCTCCAAATGATTTAATCTTGAAAATCATTTAAATTTTCTCTTGTATTTAAATTTTTTGGGGTAAAGTATGTTTATCCCACCCTCTTTATTTCAGATTGTGTGTTTTCCTTGTCTCACTCTCACTTTTATGTCCCATGTTTATATGAGAATGTTGGGTTTGGGCCTATATTGCACGTCCTATAGGGCTATATTTTGTCACCAAGAAGCGAGTGACTTTGGTTGTGCATAGCGCAGATGGGTACTCTACTTCTCACATGTAACAGTACTTAGCTAGCAGAGTAAATTCAACAATTGACACATACTTGTCCATATCTTGGGCTTAACTGAAGTCACTGCTGTCCAACCTCTGATAGATTACTACCCTCCTCACGCACTAGGCCACTAGCATTAATTGCATAGTTTACAACGATGTCCATGTTGCTTTATAGTTTATACCGATGAGCCTGGCATACCTCCTGAAATCAGTTTCTTCTTATTCCCATGCTGATTTTTATGGTTGTCATGCTGGACTGACATGACATTCATGGTCCTGATATGATGACCACGGATTCAAATCTGCACTCCTGATGAGGTTTTTCTTTTTCCTACATCTCAGACACTTGTTAGTCCCCTCAAAACTTTTCACCAGTAGTTTACATCCTATGTAACAATATCTAGCAAGTATAATGGAGTGCAGAAGCATCTAAAATGTCGATGTGGGGTTGGGAGAATGTTTTTCCTGCTGACCTGCTGTGAATGGATAGCATCAACCCTTTTGTTCATGCTATGCTGATGTGCAAGTTGCATCATGCATACAAAATGGAAGGCTGTAATGGAGTTTTGAGTCATTGCCCTGTTCCGCTGCACTACTTCAGCAGTACTTTTCAGCGAACGAACATTTGGCTTATGTTGATGCTTATGTTGAAATGTTGTGAGAGGAAAACACTATTCGTTCGCTTGCAGCAGAACAGGGCAATGACTCGAATAGTATATTTTGCCTACGTGTTCGAGAAAATAACATTTTGCCCGGTGGCAAAATAATCTGTTAGCAATGTACAATACATCTTCCCTTTAAATTCAAACGGCATTCTAGTGTACTCAGCGGCATTTTAATAGTCATTTTCATAACTCGCATTCCTTTTGTTTGTGTGGATCCAAAGTGCATGATGCATCTCAATGCACGTAGTCGTTTTATTCGTAAGCTATACAACCTCTAAGTTCATTGTATGAAAGGAAATAATCATAATTTTTTGTTTTCAATACTTATCATCTCAAATATTTGTTTTGCCATTTGCTTAATAGGCACCAAAATGAGAGAACGTCTAATTTGTATCCAGCTATCTACTCACAATCAATGTCAGCTCGAAGGGGGCGATCTCATTATGTCTCGGATCCACCAGGGCATGGCATTAGCATTCTACAGGCAATTTCTCTTACCCTCTGGAGCGGCAGGGCTCTACATCACTTGCTAAATTTGCGTGGACTCAATCGGCAGCACTTACATAGTTACATTCTTCTGTACAGCAGCAGTGTTTCTAACTTGGCATATCGCCCGTTCTGATAGTTACATTGCCACAGATGCAATATTTAGTCGGATGGACAAGGCATTTTGTTGGGTGCAGCAGCTGTATTTTCGTTAGCTTTTTTGGTGATGTTTGTTTGCTTGATCGCTGTGAGTTTTGTTTGCTTGTGTATCTTCATCACTACGGGGGTGTTCAGATACAGGAACTAAAGTTTAAGAGATATCACGTCAGATGTTACAAGGTGTCGCATGGAGTGTTCGGATAGTAATAAAAAAACAAATTATAAAAGTTCTCAGTAATTTGCGAGACGAATTTATTAAGCCTAATTAATCCATCATTAACATATGCTTACTGTTGCACCACATTGTCGAATCATGGACTAACTAGACTTAATAAATTTGTCTCGCAAATTAGTCTCAATCTGTGCATTTAGTTTCATAAATAGTCTATATTTAATACTCTATGCATGTAACCAAACATCCAATAGGACAGCGACTAAAGTCTAGGAGGTGAAAACAAACACCCCCTACATCAGGCTATGGGGTATATACATCCTGCAATTGTGTAAATGATTTTGTCTAACGAATGCCTGTTGACATTAAGATTGATGTTTACAGTAACAACCACACTAGGTGGTGCAACTGTGCCTGTATACGTGTTCGTCCATGGTCACGCGAATTAAAAAGTAAAAGATGTGTGTAAGGAAGAAAACAAAAGGCGTACAGCTTTTCATTGATCGGATACATGTTTTGCCCTTTCAGGATATACCCTAGGCCTATTTTCCGATTATGCATGACCATTGTTAGGGTTTGTTTAGAATTTGGAACGGTACCTCAATTCTCATGAAATTGCAAAAAAAAAAAAATGTGTTTTAAATTTTTACAGGTCACAGAAAAAATCCTTTTTCGAAGGGTGACCCATAGCAGGGCTTGCAACTTCACGACAAGTAGAGTTCCCTACTTTATTTTCACAGGAATATATTGCGTCCCATGACTGATTGTGGATTAGTGATAGCCTATGACCCTACGCATTATCACAGCAATAAGACTATCTCCAACAGCCGATCCCCAAATCAGCGACCTATACCCGGATTTGAGTTCGGCACAGTAAATAGGTCAGCTACCCAAAACATTCCTTCTCCAACAGCCCGCCTCACTCCCTGCCTCGCCGTCGTCGTCTCAGATCGCCAGCGAGCTCCTCCCCGCACGGCCTCCCTCCTCCCTGCCTTGATCATCCAGCCTACCCCTCCTCCCCTCCTGGTGAGCTCCGCCTCCCTCCCCCGCCCGCCTCATTGTCGTCGTCAGGCCCGCCTGCCGGCGAGCTCCTCCCCCACACGGCCTCCCTCTCTCTCCTCAAGGTCAGCAGACCCAGACAGCGGCGGCATTGGCATGGACGGGCCTGGTGCGGCAACCCCGGCGCGGATCCAGTGGCGCGGCGGCCCCGACGATGTAGGCCCTCCTCCTCCTCCTGGATCTAGGGTTTCGGCGAGCTTTTCCCCTCTCTCTCCCAACTCCGATCCAGCGCAGGGAGGCCGGCGGGACCGTGGGGGGGGGGGAGGTGGCGCAGCTGCGTCGGGCATCGCGGGGAGGACGTCGCAGCTGCGTGGCGTGGCTGCATCGGCCGAGCTCCCTCCCCTGCACGGCCTCCCGCCTCGCCGCCGTCGTCGTCGTCGGGCCCGCCTTGCTGGCGAAGACTTTGTGTCTTGGGAGAAAGACGACGCAAATAAGCGTCCCGGGTGGCCTCCTACGCAAAATGCATCATCTATTTGCCTCTTCCGTTGGAGCCGGTTTTCCTCATCTAAAAACACTGTGCATTACCCATTTTAGGTATGCGTTGCCGTTTGCATAAGCTGCTGGAGACAGTCTAACACTGGCCTACTTCAGGATACTCCGGATGCTTCATTTTCTTGTACCCTAAAAAGGTGGCACCTGTTTGGATTGGCGTATTTATCCCCGCAACCGTTTGCGCTGCTATCCGATCGCGTTACGACGCGTTTGTTTCACGAAGACGGGAACCGTTTGCGGAGGGATCAAATTCGGTTACCGTCCACCTCCAGGCCGTATCAATTTATACGTAGCTCACGAGTTGCTGCGTGCGCCAACCAAACAAAGTGCGTTTTTTATTACGGTGTTACAGGTAGTGGTGGCAATTGTTTACATTTACGTTATCACTCCCCAAGTATAACCAAACAGCACCCTAGTGTTTGACAGTAGCTATTCCGCAAATTCACTGGAATCCATCCATTCCAATTTATAGGTTATTTTGATATTTCTTAATACATAACTTTTGTTATGTATCTTGAGGTGCATAGAAAAAGCTATGTACCAAAAAAAAAAAAGAAGCTAAAACGGTGATATTATTCAGCATAGTCTCCCCTGTCCACAAGGAAACCTGGTGTTCATCTTATAGCCGAGCCTGAACTTTCTTTGCCGGTGCACTCTGCAAATGTTAATTTATTTCGAATCAGGTGCTATGGTGATAATATCATTGCATTATGAATAGACCAAAAATAATACAAAATGTTACAGAAAATAAGAGGATTAGTGTAGGTAATTTAATGCAATCACACTAGCATTTTGTAAACATGCTAATGAGCTGTAACATTCAGCGTATGACTGTATTTGCGCTCATGAGGTGCAAAATTCAGAGTATTGCAGGAAAAGGTATCCATGTGCAAGATTCAATGTAAGTGCTAAACTGTTTTTCGAATGTACATATGATAGAAGTTAACAGATAGTTTAAGAGAATGATGGATGCTGTGAAAGGATAATGACTTGCTCACCAGAGGAATCCCTTTTGCAGCTCTTTCAGCGAGGTAAGAGCAAGGCTTGAAGAAGCCGCCATACCGCTTTGTCCACTCCTCCAACTTTCCATGGATGTACTTTGCACCGATGGAATCTGCCCAGTACATGACACCTCCCCTGCTTGTAGCAACGAATAGAGTGTGAGCAGTTATTCAGTTATATAATTACAAATGAACCATCGTTCAGTTGAAAGAGGCAAATTGGACCAGGGTTCTCAAAAGCAGACCTATAAGGGGGGAACCCCATGCCGAAGACTGAAGCAATGTCTAGGTCAGAAGCCTTGACCGCGATACCCTCATCAAGAACTCGACAGGCTTCATTTATCACCGGGAAAAACACCATCTCAACTATGTCTTTCTCACTTAGCTTCAGCAGCTGGCACAATAGCACCAAAGTTTTCAGTGTTAGAAGCTTATCATCAGTTCCAAAAAGAATATAACATTTACTTTACCAAATGTTATATCCAAATTGCTTTGGCATGTCATTTCATCCTATATCACATTTAGCATCAATGTTTTCCTAAACGGTAAACGGTCTTTACACGGTCGCCCTTCGTTTAGCGTTTAGGCTGTTTACACGGTGTTTAAACGAAGTTTAACGGTCTAAACGGTTTTGTACTTTAAAAAAAATACATATAATTATATATGTGCATGTAAAAAATCAAGTATTCTAGCATTTATACATATTTATCCGAGTAAAAATCAATTATTTTGGTATGTATATATATTTATGCATGTGAAAAGAACCAAATATAGATATTTATGCATGTAACATATCAAGTGTACACATTTATAAATATAATAAACTTAAGTATACAAATTTATCCATACAAGACTGAACTAGATTTACCTCGTGTTCGCCTAAACAGCCATTTAAACAGTTGTTTAGCTCGTTTAATGTTGTTTATCTCCGTTCCGTTTAGGCCGTTTAGACTGTTTTTTTCGTTTTTTTTTTACCGTTTAAACGGTCAACCGTTTAATTTCCGTTTACCCCCTAAACAAAACAGTTTACCATCGTTTACCGTTTACTGGCCGTTTAGGCGAACACTGTTTAGCATAAAGAAAAATAACTTCAACACGGTGTTGGCTATACTTCAGATAGCCTTACTATTTAATCGACACCATCAAACCACTTTTCCCTCAAAACCTGTTTCCAAACTAGTGAACCAGGTTTCTTTTTAATTAAGAAGAAATATGCACCAAGATTTGCCTT